CGACACTGGGATTTGAACTCTGGACCTGCCACTTGGGGGTTGACAACCTGACCACTTCACTAGGTCACCACACCCCACTCGATAATTGTTATATATCACTAGTAATATATATCAATATATAACAATTAATTGATACATATTGATTATTTTTAATTAATATATATTGATTTAATACTATATATTGATATATATTTGCTTAAAAATTTTGCTAATGTTGTTAAACTCTCAACAAGCAAAACTAATACTATTATTAATTTAAACATTGTTCTTTCTGAAATAGAGTTTTTTAAAATTGATATTTTGAAAAAACCTATACATATCAATAGTTCCAATAGTGATTTTGTAATATCTATATACTCTAAGAATTATAGTTTTATAACTAAAAAAAAAAGGTCAAAAAACTAATTAGTATTAAAAGTAAATTTAGTTCCTCATTATCTATTAAAATTACTAATATTTTATTTTTAGATAAAGAAGTTGTAAGTAAAATTTTAGTAAAATTTTATCTAATGAAGAAGATTTATTTGATCAAGACATTGATTTTAATGCACTGGCATTGGAATTAAAAAATATAAATAATCAAACAGAATTTATAGATTTTAATAATAATTTTATATGGGTTGCCTTATAGATTCTCAAACATAGTAGATTAGTAATGCCATAAAAAATTAGCAGTTACATGATGATCTTTATGTATAATCAAAATTTATTGGTCAAAATATTTATTCAGTAGATAATAAACCAACAAACCAATTTATTGAAAATTAAAATAGTTTAAAATAAACTAAGCTTTTTGCTTAATGAATTAGTTTTGTTAAAAAAATTATATATGCTCTAATGTAAAACTTTATGTAAATTTAAGTTATATTTATATATTGACAAACCAACCTAATTAAATTTAGTCTTCAAAGCTAAAAAAGTAATATGCATATATGTACATATATATATAAGTAAAAAAATAGTTTTTAACATGTATATGAAAATAAAATTTCATATATTAATATGTAAATCAAGAGGTATAGCTACTTAGTAAAGTAAATAAGTTGTCAATTCTTCAAGTGGTAGGTAGTGAGTTCAAAATCTACCAACAGTAAAAATTTGGATAATCTTATATATAATATATAGACAGTATTATGTTGACAGCATTCTGTTAATTAGTTAAGATAAGATACCTGTAACACAGTTATACTAGCATGACTGGCAGGTCATAAAGCATCTGCATAATGTTGGAGTTATACAGAGAAATGCAAACTAGCATCAGGCAGTGCAAACTTAAGATAAGTCCTCATAGTCATATAAATCTATGAACTGAAAAGCCAAAGCCCACTTGAAAAGACCTGAGTAGAGAGATAGCACAAATCTTTGACAGTATTACTATAAAGGCTAAATCTAGAAAACAGATACTAATATAAAAGAAATCAGGCAAGCAAGAATCTCAGGTAAGAGATACTACCAACCAGGCTATCAAAAGTCTTAAACTGAAGAAAAAGAACCTTGAGAGGCAGACTCTAGGATACCAGAAACAGGTTATAGTCCTACTGGGCTATCTGGATTGGAAGTCTAAGATCAGAAACAGAAGTATACTATAAGTACTAGAGATATGTTATAAAGTTAGTACTGGGGTCTGAGTGAACTTTACAAAGACAAGCCTTGTTAATAAGAACTAAATATAAGTAATTAGTTAGCAGAAAGGCACCCTTCAGCTTTACAGTCAGGTGACATACTCTGAAATATGTAATAGCTTGACAGATATACAGAAAGGAAGGTTAAGGTTAGATTAAATAGCATTTAATATAGGTGTACAAAAACTTGTGTACTATCTATCAGTGTAGTATAGAGATCAGAGTGTTTAAAATAGATAATCTTTTAGTAGATTGCAGATATGGCAGCTAGTGTAGAACTTGCTGTATAGGCAGACTACTTAAATTAGACAACCAAAATTTGTATGAGTGACTAGTTGTATACTCAACTTGTACAAGTTATGTAACTATAATTAAAAATATAATAAAAACAGTAGCTGCTGATAATCACAGCCTTAGCGAAAGCAAAAAAAAAATATATAAATCAATTAATTAGTATATATATATATAAGTAAACAAAAATTTATATATATAATTTTAAAATATATCAAAACTGTAACTCAGAAATTATTATTAGTAAATATATAAAAAAATAATTATAAAATTTTGTAAAGTCTAGTAGGTTTTTAACATGAATGTACAAATAAAAATATTATATACAAGTATGTCAATTAAAGGATGCAATATATAATTTTCAGAATAACTTACTAATGCATATATAGAAAAACTAATATTTTCAAAAAAAATGCTTATAAAAAATCATTATTAATATATATTATAATTTTTCAAATAATGTTTAGCAAATTAATTAAAATTTGCAAATTCTTTTTTTTTCTCACTTAGATGCAACTTTATTTAGTTTTTTTTAATAATTGTATATTATTATGTTTTATAATTTAATAATTGTAAGAATAATTAAATCAAAATGTTTAACAAGTAGTAAACTCAAGTATTTAAAATTTAATGATAATAAATATCAAAATAAATATATATAAGTAACTGCTTTTTGTTTTTAATAACAATAGAATTTGAAAGTATCAAAAATATTTAAACAACCTTAACACTAAAATACTTAACTTATAACACTCACTAGGTGTAGTAAAAAAAATTTATAAACAATATAATGAATCAGTCAAATAAATCGAATAGTAATAGTAATAGTTGATTTTAATTGCAATTAGATTATTATAATAAATTTATATAATTAAGCTAAAATTTAAACACCAAATCTAAGTATTCTATCACAATTTTAAATTTTAGTTACCAAATTACATATTAATAAATCAATGTTAACCTAAAAAGATTTTTAAACCTCTAATTTATATTAACAAAATGTTTATCTTATCTTTTTTCATATTCTTCACTTTTACTACATCTCATTAGATATAAAAATTTATTATAATAACTTATCCTCAGAGATAGTAATTATTTTAATCAAAAAACAGTGTTGTTTTATTAATAGTCAAATTTTTCAAATTTTGGTATTTTATAAATTTATCATAATAACTTATTGTTAATATTAAATAAGTATATTAATTTTAAAAATATGTCTATAATAATAGATATAAATAATCTATATAAAATGAAAGAATGCTCATATTATAGAGTATTAAAGCTGATTGATAAATTCATAAGGCTTTATAGTATAAGAAAAGATCTATTTAGAAATTGCAATTGTTGTTCTGAAAAAAAGAAAAAAGATTCAACAAGTAAAAATCTAATTGATGAAAATATGATACAAGATAATACAAATTTTTTACAACTCAGAAGTAACTTAGACTCAGATCTATTATCAATAAAAGGTAGAAATAACAAAGATGAAAGTCTTATATATGAAATGAAAAATCTTAAAGAACTTGTTATTACATATTTTTTAAATGAATATGCTAAGTTTTCAGCCCTAGTTGAATTAAGTAATGAATTCATTGAAGAAGCTTTAGCAAGTACAACAGGCCTTAATAATGATAACAGTCAAGCTTTTCATTTTATTATAAATGCTTTACTTACTTTAATTGAAGTTAGATTACAATATTATTAAGAATTAAAAAATCTTTATATTAATAAAAAAAATAATCAATCTGATGGATATTCTATCACTTATTTAATTTGCTCTCAAAAAATTAAATATTAATATAAACATCCTAATAACCAACCTACTAATTGAATTAGTGAGATATAGTCAGCAATTGATTGATTTTCTTGTAATGAAAATATTATAATCAAAATTAATATTCCTTTAAAACAGATTATATTAGCAGATATATATTAAATATCTTATAAGTGACCAATCTAGCATTAAATTAAATTGCTATATGAAGTGATTTTCCGAATTAAATTAAATTTAAACTATAGTAATCATGTAATAAACTTTTATAAAAAGCTTCTTAGTGAAAAGCTTATAAATCTAAAAATTTATACTTATTATCAAATATATTACTAGGTATCTAAACTTTCTACTAGAAAATATATAGCAAATATAAAAAACTATATTATTTCAACAAAAAATTATATAGAACAACAAAAATTAATCTATGAAGGTTATAGATTAATTTTCCATGTCAAAAATAATTTTGTAAGAGTGCTTGAATTTATTACACTATTTATTAATATAATAGAAAATATTAGTAAGCTTATTCTTAATTCCATATTTAAAATAAATAAGAAAAAATTTGAATTATTTTTCTTAGTTGTTAATTGTAATGGATTTGGAATGCCACTTGCTTATTTGTATTTTAATACATATGTAACATCAAAAGGCTATTTACAAGACTCTATAAATAATATTTATAATAGAACCCAAGCACTTACAGAATTTTTTAAGCTTGTTAGACAAGAAGGTATCTTACCTTCTTTTATTTTACTTGATAAAGACATAGGACAAATTACAGCAGTAGAGGAAGCCTGATTCTAAAAAATAAAAATACAATTGTGTATTTGGCATGTTAAATATGCAGTTAACTGAAAATTAAAAAAAAAAACATCTAAAATTTTATATTATACAAATCAAAAAGCAAAGAAAGCAAACAGCCAATTTGCTTTTATTTATCTAAATTGGTTTTTTTTTTTTTTTTTTTTTTTTTTTGGTATTAAGGTAAGGCCTTGCTTATATCTTTATTAATAATTTAAAATAGT